CAGCCTCTGCTGTGGCTGTGATAATTGGCTGTGCCCAGTGGTGTTGGCTGGCACAGCCCACAGCCCCATTTTGCTGCCCTAGGTTCACTGCATGGATGATGTCTGTGGACTCCTCCCTTTCCTAAATCCAGAAGTCCCTGACCAGTTCTACCGTCTCTGGCTCTCACTTTTCCTACATGCTGGGTAAGTGTACGTGCAAAGCTTCCAGTGTCTGGGAGGGAACTGTGGGGTCGTATGAGGGTGGTTCTAGCAGTTTCTGTCCTCAGGACACCACTGTGGGCATGAACTGTTGTCCCTGCTGAGGCTTACCAGGCTGAATTTGCTGGGAGGGATATTAGATGCATGGGGCTGCACCAGGTGCTTTCAGCAACTCAAAGAAGACAGCAGAGAAGACAGACAAGCCCACTGTGGGGAATTTGGTGGATGCTGCTTCAGCTCCTGTACTCTGAACTTGGCAGGATCCTGCACTGTCTGGTCTCAGTCTGTTTCCAAATGACGATCCTGCGGGACCTAGAGAAGCTGGCAGGATGGCATCGCATCTCTATCATCTACCTGCTCAGTGGCATCACTGGGAACCTTGCCAGTGCAATATTTCTACCCTACAGAGCAGAGGTGGGTCTCCTACACACTAGGGTCCTGGCAGCTTCAATACAAGCCCCTACATGCTGTGCCTATCTGGCAGAAAAATCAGAGCTGCACTTATCTTTGTATTGTGCAGATTTGTAGTTAGCAGTCAACACCACATCATCATCTATCTGCTGAGCAGTAACATCCCCCAGAGCACACTAGTTGGCTTTCCAGGTGACTGACCCATTCTGGCTGCAGCCCAAGGGCTGCCTCACAGCATGAGATGGGGGAGATTCCAGCCACATGCAGGCTGGGAATTCAGGTCTATAGCTGGGGTCAGTCCCTTCACATGCAGGCAGAAGGTGAGAGTAAAGCTTGCCATTCCCACACTGTCCCTGCCCACATTGCACAGCTGGAGAAGCCCAATGTGCCTGCCCAGCTTTACCTTAGAAGACTGCATGGCAGGACCTAGAGGACCACCTTCCAGATCCTTCAGTAAGGAAAAGTGTGGTGGGTGAAGGGACCAAGGAGATTGCCTCTAAGGACCTCTACCCTCTAGTAGTTCAAACCAGATTCATCCTCTTTAAATAGAACATCTGCTCTGGTGAGCTCACATCTACACTGATCCTCATGTCAGACCAGGCCTTCAATGTCATTATCAGGATGAAGTCTCAGGCTGCAGCATCTCTTTCTCAAGTAATGCTGAACAGGGAGCTGAAATAACCCTGACGGAGCTGGTTGCAGAAGCCAGGCAGATGAGGTGTGCCTGATGTTACCTGTGATGTTCTTCTTCTGCAGGTTGGCCCTGCAGGATCCCAGTTTGGGATTCTGGCTTGTCTCTTTGTGGAGCTCTTCCAGAGTTGGCAAATCCTGGCACGGCCCTGGAGGGCTTTCTTCAAGTTGCTGGCTGTGGTGCTCTTTCTTTTTGCCTTCGGCCTCCTGCCTTGGATTGATAATTTTGCTCACATTTCAGGATTCATCAGTGGTTTCTTCCTCTCCTTTGCCTTCCTGCCCTACATTAGCTTTGGGAAGTTCGATTTGTATAGGAAGCGATGCCAAATTATTGTTTTCCAGCTCATCTTCATTGCACTCTTCTCAGGACTTGTGATTCTATTCTATTTCTACCCCATCAAGTGCGAGTGGTGCGAGTTCCTCACCTGTATACCATTCACGGACAAATTCTGCGAGAAATACGACCTGGATGCACAGCTTCACTGAAAGCAAAGACTGGCTTCTCGAGCAGGCACTGGAGATGGACTGTCTTTGCATTTGCTGTGCTAGTTCCACGAGGACAAAGCTTCTAATCCAGTGACACTTCTAACCAGGGCTGTGGTTAATTTAAACCGTCTCTAGCACTCAGCAGGCGTGGTTTGCCTTATCTCAGAAGACTCTGAACAGAACGTTGGTGCCTTGTTCAATTGTATTGAACCTCTTCTGCTGCCATTATTTTTATTATACTAGTTTCAATACTACATTTTTAACTAGAGTTATTTACTACTGCTAAGGTGGTGATTAAATGGAAAGGTAGCGTTTTAGCTACTGCTAATTGTTTTGCATAGTCTGTGGCTACGTTTGTTACTTTATGTCACCCATGCTGTTCCATGCACCCATAGAATCAGTATTCTAGCACCCAAAGTAGCCTGACACACATTCACAGCTGGAAATAAGAGCTTTGAAAGCCTCAGAAAATGAGTCTCTTTAATTACAAAAAGCACATTCTGCATACAGCTCAAAGGCAGACATTTTGAACAGCAAAAACATGTAAGAGCATCTGTTCAACTGGAGTTTGCTTCTCTGTGAAATCTTTCAAACTCTTCCTATTGGAGAGCACTGAATCCCTTATCTGATCCTGGCAGGAAGGGATTCTCTGTTCTGCCTGTAAAAGAAATATTTGGGAACAGCAGTGTTAACTGCATACTGGGCTCTCCTATCACTGCAGTACAGGGGATCATCCAGGGCTCCATGGGGTAAAGCAGAGCTCTGCTGTCACAGCACGTCATATTGCACTAAGTGCTGCAAATATGATAGCACTGAAAGAGAATGAAAGCCTCTGTGGTCACAGTGACAGTTTCTAACCCAGCTAGCTGGAGCCAGGGAACAGAACATTGAGAATGCAGGCAGTTACCACTGCTCTCAGCAACTGATTGTGGTGAGGCAGACAGTTTTAAACCTACCGAGGTTGGGAGTCTTGGCCACCGTGTGTTTGTACTAGAATTGTGATGTCTACAGGACTGCACACAGGCAAATATATATGCTACTAATGCTTCCTGTGCTACAAGTTTTCTTCAGTGCATCAGCTGCACAAAATTACCATGACCAAAAGTCATCTAGAGGTATTATCCCACCTTCTGGAAACAGCAAATCAGCTGAACTCATTGCTGTAAACCAGAAAAAAAAGAAAAACTAAACAAAAGCTACAGGGTACAGAAGCAGAGGTGCCTTTGGTAACTCCTTACAGCTTGCAGTAACTGACAAAGATGGCTCAGAATACACCCAGTGAGGAACAGCAACCGTTGCTGGTTGCATTTGCTTGCATACAGCGATGGGACACTTCAGGTGCTCTGAATGATACAGGAGTGTGAAGAGCAAAGAGGGAGAACAGTCACTTGGGTACAGTGAGACAGAGACATACAGGAGGATCAAATGAATTGCATGATGGCAATCAATCAGTGCTAGCACAGAGACCTGTTCTTCCTGGGCACTGGACTGCCAGAGTTCTATGAAGCCTAAAACCCAGGTCCAAGAAGCAATTAAAAGGGCAAAGAGAAGAACACTGCATTTAATGAATCTCAGGACACTGTGGGAACAAATTCAGAGCCTAAAATGCACAGTAGGGGTAGGGATGCACCACTGCTAGCACCGAGGTACTGCTGCTGCTCCCGGTGTGGTTTGAACCACAGTTCCCTGCCCAGAGAGGAGCACAAGCAACAATCAGGATGAGGACATGGGGAAGAGCCAGGCTGGAGCCCAGCAGAAACACAGAAATGCTCACAGAGCTGCTCTGTGCTATCAGCCTGAGTGCTGTGGCCCTGGGAAGGCAAAGCTGAAGAACAAGTATTCCTAACGGGTATTCAGGACTTACCTGACAGGTCACTTTCGGAGTTTCTTGATGAAGCTGACCTCATCCCGGTTCCTGATGCCATACCTGAACAGAGTTGTGCCGTTACAGCCAGTTCTCCTCTAACCACAAACTGCAGTCCTACAGCTCCAGTTCCCAGGGCTGGATGGACTCCTAGTGTGCTCCACTCCCAAACAGGTGCAGTTCTCACACGTGCAAGCAGAACACGGTCTGCTACTCTGCCTTTGTAAACACACCATCTATCACCCACAGCAGAGAGGCTGTGCATGCCCCGTCCCTGGAGGTGTTCAGGGCCAGGTTGGATGGGGCCCTGGGCAGCCTGGCCTGGTATTGAATGTGGAGGTTGGTGGCCCTGCATGCGGCAGGGAGGTTGGAGATTCATGATCCTTGAGGTCCCTCCCAGCGCAGGCCATTCTGTGACTATGTGATAAGGCAGTGCTGCCTTGCTATTGTCATGGTTCTATAGAACCATGACAGCTATGGGCTCTCCCTCCTGCTAAGCCATATCCCTTCAGACAAGCTCCTCTTTTAGCTCTGCACAACGGCTGCTGGCATGCATTGATGCCTCCCGCCTTCAGTACAGACACGGGGCTCAAAGCAGCCTCGGTCCTACCAAGTGCTCTCAGTTCCCGGGAGGCGGCCGGCCGTGCTTCACGTGCTCACTGCCGAGCCCACCGTGCGCTCAGCTCCGACCGGCCAACCCTCAGCACCGCCCCGAGCTGCAGCTAACGGGGCACGGCACGGAAAACCCCCCCGGCGACCGTTTACTCACTCTCTCAGCTTCTTTCCGTCATCCGCCAGCTTCTCCCCGTTGTAAGTCAGGTGGTACGTCCTCCAGATGTACTTCCTGCGGGAAAACGGCGGTGGGAGCGGGGCTGCAGAGCGGGGCTGTGCAGAGCCGGGGCTGCAGAGCCGTGCCGTGCAGAGCCGCTCACCAGCTGAGATGCTGCACACCGCCACGCCGCGCTTGCCGGAGCTGCACGTGCCGCCGCAGCGCCTTCTTTAGATCGAGCACAGTCGCGTTCTGCACCACCACCACAGCTGCGGGGAGAGACCCGCTCAGCGCCCGCGGCCCCGCAGCTCCCCGCCCCGTCCCCCGCCCCGCTCCGCTCACGCATGCTCTCGCCGTCCGCCTTGCACACTCGCACCGTCATGGCCTGCCCGTACTCCAGCGCCACTTGAGAGCCGATCTCCTCCGGCGTCACCTGCGGGCGGCACCGCGGGGCTGAGCTGCGCCGAGCCGCCTCTGAACCCCAACCCCAACCGCCACCCCGACCTGCGGCGGGAGGTCGCAGAGCAGCGGGTCCTGCACGAGCCGCGCCAGCGCCGCCTGGAACAGCTCGAGCACATCCGCGTGCGCCAGCTCCTCCTCCGCCTCCGCCATCGCCGCCGGAAGAGGCGGATCCGACGATGTTGCTTTTCTGCCCGGCGTGCGGCAACGTGCTGGTGGCCGAGGAGGGGCCGCGCTGCCACCGCTTCGCCTGCACCACCTGTCCGTACGTGCGGAACGTCACGAGGAAGGTGCGCGGCAGCGGCGGGCGGGGTTGAGGAGGGGGCTTTGGGGAGGGGGGAATGAGGGAGGGAGGGGAGCTGATCGCTGTGCCCGCAGGTGAGCAGCAGGAAATACCCGCGGCTGAAGGAGGTGGACGATGTGCTGGGCGGAGCGGCGGCGTGGGAGAACGTGGATTCCACCGCAGGTACGGGCGGGAAGGGGTTGCGTGGATGGGGGAAGGGGGAGGGGGGGGGTTGGTGCGGATCTCAGCTCACCGCCTCTCCCCGCAGAGCCGTGCCCCAAGTGCGAGCATCCCCGCGCCTACTTCATGCAGATCCAGACGCGCTCGGCCGACGAACCCATGACCACGTTCTATAAGTGCTGCAACGCGCAGTGCGGGCACCGCTGGCGCGACTGACCGCCCCCTACCCCCCCCCCCGGCTATCAATAAACGCAGCGCTGGAGCTGCACTGTGAGGTGCGGTGGTTCCGTGGATCTGTGCTTAACCTTTGTTCTCACCTCAAACGTGCACAAAAGTATCAAAAAGAAAGGATAAAAAAACTTCCTTAATCCCAGAATGGCCAGGGTTGGAAGGGACCTCAAGGATCATGAATCTCCAACCCCCTGCCACATGCAGGGCCACCAACCTCCACATTTAATAGCAGACCAGGCTGCCCAGGGCCCCATCCAACCTGGCCTTGAACACCTCCAGAGATGGATGGGGCATCCACAGCCTCTCTGGGCAGCTGTTCCAGCCCCTCACCACTCTCTCTGTCAAGAACTTCCTTTGACATCCCACCTAAATCCTCCCTCCCTCAACTTAAAACCATTTTCCCTTGTCCTGCTGTTATCTCCCCTTCCAAAGAGTTGATTCCCTAGAAAAAGAACTAGAACACAACACGAGAGAGCAACAAGTTACAGCATTTAATCCACGTTAGCATCTAAGGGATAAATCAATTTAACAACATCCAGCTTTACCTCTTCTACACGTGGATAACCTGCACCCATTTGTTCCAGTTCACTGCAGTGGGGAACACCCCCCCCCAGGCGCAGGGTGCAGTCCATGGTGGGCTCATAGTATGCTACAGAGGCCTCGCTCAGTTTGGGACTGTGCAGCTGCTCTGCTATAAGTGGCTGAGAGAAGAGGGATGCTGGGGGTGCCTTCTTCATGTGGAACCTTCTGATACAACCAAGAGCTTCCAGACCCTGCGGAGAGAAACTGCATTTCAGCTTAAGCATCTGCAAAACAAACCAACATAGGCCACGCACTGCTGTTTCATGTTCAGTGTTTTCAGGACCTATACTTGGGATTTTGAATTACATTAGGACAAAAAACCCAATACCAACAAGGTTTCAATGGGCAGTAGCAGTGGTGGTAATCAAACTCCCAGATGTGGAAGGAAAAAAAAAAGAACCTCAAAATTTCTCACCATCTATTGCGTTAAGGATGTATGCCTTCAAGTGGGTTTTTTGCTAAACAAAATAATCTTAAGTTCAGGGGCTGAAGCAGCCTGAGGTCACAGTGCTGCTTATTCACATACCTGCAGGATCTCCAGGACAGCAACGGGCTGCAGTGTCCCTGTGTAATGCTGCAGCAGCATGCTTTCTGTTATCCCTGGCTTTGTCATGATGTGATACAGCACAGCTTCCATCATTCCTTTACACACAGGTTTGTTCAGGTTCCCATCCACAATCCTCCACGGTCTGCCAATGAAGCAGACATTCTCACAGGCCCTGCAAAAGACGGTTTAAAATCAGCTCTGCCAGCTGCTAGATCCAACCATGCACCTGATGTACCCCATGTCCCTCACAGCCACGTGCCTCTTAAATACCTCCAGGGCTTGGGACTGCTGCCCTGAGCCTTGTTTCACCTCTTCATCTGCACTAGCCCTATAATATCCTCCAGAAGTTGCCTAAGACTTAACTTCAATCTGCAACGTGCAGCAACAGTGCTCAGACAGGAAACAATTCCTTATTTGTAGCATTCTGGAAGGAAAGGATTGCCCTGCATGGCAATCCACACTTCTCATATTGCAGAGATTCTCTAAGGCCTTTCCTGGGCACATGGAAGAGGGGACCTGCTGACACTGCACTTGTGAAATACAGTTAATGTCATTCCTCTGGTACTGCAGCTGGTTGTGGTATCAGTGTGTCTATGAACACATGAGCAACTTTAACAAGAGCAATGGGGGAAAACGGGGTTCATCTTCCTTGCTCTCTGCCTATGGGAACGTACAACTGAGTTCACCAAAGCACTGGCTTCAGAAATTTCTCTGGCAATGGGGAGCATTCAGTCCCACTGCAGACATCTCTGTTACTCACCCATCTGCAGCTGCCTGGGACAGACCTGGCACAGAACTGCCTGGAAAGAAAAGAACATGCAGTTTTGAAGTTAATTAGCCCAAGCTCTTTGGTGGATGTTAACTAACAGGTGGCTAAACTGTGAAAGGCAACAACTTGTGCTAGAAAATAACAGAACCAAGCTGTTGTTCTGGGTTGTATGGGGAGTTCCAAGATTCCACTCAGTCTTCACCCATCTCCAGCACAGCCCTTCTTCCCGCACTGTTCTCAAAACCACATCTGGCTGCTCCAGCCACGCTTTTGGCGGTTCTGTTCCCAAATCATAGCAAGGAGTTTTATTTCTAGAAGCCTGATGCATGACAGAACAGCAGACAGTTCTGTGTTCCAAAGAACAAAGTTCCACAGAGGCTGCAGTGCAGGGGCTGCACACAGGTCCTCAGCCGAGTCCCACAGGAGTCACAGTGAGGCTGAGATGTCTGAGTAACTGCAGACTCAGGGCTTGAGAATGCAAACTCGACATTTCAGCAGGATTTGGTTTCAAAATGAAGGCTGCTTCTGCAACTTCCATGATCCTAATGGGTTTTAATTATACAATTACTTAACACTGGTACTTCTACTGCATCCAGAGGCCGACAGCTTTGGCTTAAGCATGTGTGAAACCTCCTGGGCATCACCAGTAATGCTGGTAAGAACTCTGTGCTTGGTAAGGGCTACGTTTTTATCCCTTCTATGTCACAGACAGGCAGAAGTTAAATCCTCAATAGTAGTTCTTAACATGAAACTGTTAAAGTTTATGCCAGTTAAGGCAGCCCTGAGGTGATGTCCTGCAGGAAGGCTCTGACCAACACCCAACTCCAACTGATTCACACGGCAGACTGCAGCTGTAAATGCAGGGTAAGGGCAGACTGTGGCCAAATGTCACACTGTGTGATTCAGTCTGAAATGAGAGCTGACAGAAATGAAACTAGAAGAAAATCCCCAACATCCCACTCTGTAAATCCTGGCAAGGATTATTAGCCATTAAAAAAGAAAATTGGCAGTACAAAGGATGGGAAAATGAAGTCAGATTGGGTCACAAATTAGGCTATTAATCTTCTCACTGGCAGGTGCTGCATTCTGTTGAGTGGTTTAATGACTTTACGGCTTTTAGTCATGGGCATTCTAGTTAAAGCACAAGTTGTGCTGTGTTTTCTTGATTTAAAGATGTCAAGCCATTGGACTGAAGCCAGAGATGGGAAAATTCATCTCAGTATGTCTTTGGAGAAGATTAAAAGACATGGAAATGGGTTTTTAAGGAAAGCACATTCCTGGACTAGTCCCAAACATTCCAGGAATAGGCACAGGAAGGAAACTTAGATGTATCTGGAACTTCCAATACCTTCCAGACCAATTAGTGTAAGGCTATGATGTCTGTGCAAAACAGAAACCTCCCTCGGTGCTCAGCTTCATGAAGGATCTAGTAAGTGCTTATAAAATACTACCTGGTTGGGTGGTGGTGATGAGCCAGGTACTGTTCCTTGGATGTAGAGCACTCCTACGTACCTTTAGAGACCTCTGGGTTCTCCTGCAATTGGGAAACATCATCATGCTGCTCTGTAGCAGAGTGTTCAAGGCCAAGGACATGCTTGTTGTGCTCAGGGCTGAGATCATCATTCCCTCCTTCAAGCTGTTTGTCCTCAGAACGTGGCATATCTTGATCCTTGGGCACATCCATGCTGACAGTGTCTGAAGGGCCTTCAGCTGTATGTTCTGTCTGCCCTCCCAGGGACCCTGCTTCCCCATCCGGGATGGATTCCTTCACTGTAACAGGATCAGTAATATCTGCATCCAAGTTACTCTCATTTGCACTTAGCAAACCGCTCTGCAAACCCTGGCAGAGTTGGTCACCACCTTGAAGGCCATCATTTTGAGTCCTGCGTCTCTTCCTTGGCGGTTCTCCATCACAGGGATGGTTTGTGTCTTCTCCCAGCTGCTCCTCCTCTCCCAAACATTCCTCTCCCTTCTTTGCTGCTGCCAGCAGGCAGTCCTGCTGCCCCTCTGAGATGGCTGTGTCAGCACACTGCTGACCAGAATCTTCGGGTTTATTTGTTGGACACACTGAATGCAACAGCCACGGCTTGGCAAACACAATTGCAACCAGTCTTATGCTATTGCCTCCTACTTCTAAAACCTGCTGCATTTCAATCAGGTCCTATGGAAAACAAAACAAGAATTATCTCAGGAAGTTACACTGGAAAAACGTCAATATAACCAAGTACTGTGGAACTGCCACCTTTAACTAGCAGCAAAGAAAGACAAATGGCTTAGTGGGATTTCAGTTTTATGCTCCGTCGTGCCCCTTAAGCTGTTCTGAAATTACAGCCCAAAACATTTTTGTTCAGCTTAAATTAATTTAAAATGTAACTGGGAAAGAGTTCTTCCACTCCAAAGGTGAATGTTGGTACCTCTGGGCTTCTGAAAAAGTTAATTCTTATCTGTGACTAAGTGTTTTAATTTTTGGCCTTCCTAATTATGAGGCAAGACTGCTATCAGATTATTGCTACGTTAACTCTTGCCTAACAGGAATAGCTTTGTTCACTTTATATTAGCAAATACAACACGCAGCCTAAGAGAGCGTTCTGTTCAAGGGGAATACCAGACATGCAGGCATTAATGTAAGTCTGCTAAACCACCTGAATGTACTGCTGCAGGTTCCTGGTGCGTGCAGGTTCCTCCTCTTCATAGCTGCAGAACTGTTTGCCCAGCTCAGCTTTGCAAACCCCAAAGTGGGAAGCAGCCTCTATTGCATTACGGACCTCCAGCACAGCAGCTACATCTCTGGGATTGTAGCCATAGCGTTCTGTGCACTCACGAAGAAACTGATCAACATTATAGTTCTCTTCTTGGATTTTTATCAGCCTGGTAAAAGTTTTGGGAAGGGAGGAGACTCCCACAGCCATGTTATCAAGCGGAGAAGAAACTGAAAAATCAAACGACAAGCAAATGGTTAAGCAGAGATGCACTGTTACCATGCAACACACTACGGAAAGATAAATATTCAGACACAGATCAGAGGTGTTCTGGACCGTTCTGATTAAAAACAGAGCTCAGCTTTCCATGTTCATTACTGCAGCTTCCTTCCTCCTCTCACATATTTGTGGCTGACAAGGCCTGCAGAAGCAGGCTTTAATGGAGTTTAT